ATTGAAATTAGATGATATAATATTTTCCAGTGAAAATTAGTGTTTTAGTGTTTTCCATGGGATATTCCTTCACAAGATGGGTATACCCTATAATTAATTATTATAGGAATTTATATGTGGTTTTCACATTATACCTTATAGTTAATTATTATGATAACCACAAAGTAGAATTTACATGTGTAAAGGAATCCATTACTCAATAAATGTCTCACTTGATTTTCTAACCAGTTTAAGTATGTTTAATTAATAACATATAGGAATTATATTCATATGTTCTTCATGGAAGATCAATTTTTCAACTAATTTAAATGGAGATTGATAAAGGAGTAGTATTAATTTTTTGTCATTGTGGTAGTAAAAGAAGAATATCTAAAATACTATCAACAAATAACTTTTGATACCCATAATTACATTTGTGACACAACCCCACTTTTAAATTGACCCATAGACAAATCAAAGGATATCAAATTTTAACCAAGTTTGTTTTTACTTTTCTAAAATAATTTAGATCCTTGCATTTGTCAAAATCAAAGCTTGGTTCTTGAGATTACATAAAAACTTGGCTTTTTATCTTGATGTATTTATTAGTATTCACAATTAAGTCCAGTCTACTTTTTCGAAGTTTTTTTTCATGTATGTTCAAACACAATTATAAACCAAAAGTTGTTTGCAGTTCTATAAAGGATTGCATTCAATGAATCAAACTCCCACAAAACCAATTGTTCCTCAAACACTAGTTACTCTGACTCCAGCTTAAATTCAAGTCACTCTAGCTGAAGTGCCAACCTCCCCTAATGATTGTTTATATCTATTTTCTCCATCACGTGAGATTCCTCAATTTTGACTAGGATCAGAAAGAGCAAAAGAGCAAGTGTTTTTACAACTATCTCACACTAGAATGGCTCATTACCATTTCCTTTTATCTCTGAAGGAAGATTGAGGTGAATTGTTGTTTCCATCTAAGAAAGTTATAATTGATGTTTTGGTGGACAATGGTTTGATGAGGAGAAAATAAATCATTAACCCTACTTTGAGCTTTGCATTCCAACAGAATCTGTACCAAGTATGAGAAACCTATCACCATCCAAGGTTTGAAGCATGTTTTCCAATGTAAGTTGGTAAAGCAAAAGTGTGCTATTTACCAGCCTCTTTTTGCGTATCCCAGTTGGAGTGGGATATGTTGTAGCGCTTGACATGAATGTCAAGAACTCCATTCAGATGAGCTGATTGATATAATTCTTAGCAAGGCAGCACTGCAAGTGTTGGTTTTGCAAGCTCATTGGGAAGAG